GGTGGTCTTCAGATGGTTTACATCATTTGGCAATCTTTTTCTATTTATCGCACAATATTTTCTCTAAACTTAAAAAATAATGCAAGAAAAGTGAGTCAAATGGTTGTGGACTGTTGTTGCTGCTATTGGTGAGCAGCAGATCAATATTCCTACATTCTCTGTTTTTTTTTTTGTAAGTTATTGAATTATATTTTGTTTTCATATTTTAAAATGTTTACGGAAGTAACATTGATTTAAATCACACGCACACACACAAACTGACGCGCACACACTTGTACAAAATAAACACTCATACTCTATAGCTATACAGATATACATCTTTTACTCTACAAACATATGACATGTACGGGTTGTTATCAAATGAATGTAATTTCACCGGATGAAATACATTAATTATGTACAAGTTCATTAAATATTTTACAACGAAACTGTATGATTTTGCAAAATCTTCAAATGTACGAACGCATTTTATTCCATTACGTTATTGATTTTGAAAAGTGAAAAATAAACGAATTTTTTATGAAATAAAAATGTGGATTATACGAAATAATATGAAATATAAAATTGCAAACTCCGCATACACACAAGCGACAAACAAAGGAACGAACGAACGAAAGAATTGCTAAAAAAGACATATAAATAAATCCAACCAAATAAAGATAACTAAAACATTTGCTCCACGTGCATTTGATTCAAATTGTAAACCTCTATTAAACTTTCACGTTCGTTAAATTTCGTCATAAAACTGCCCAATGAATGCTATGGTAACTATTGTCTTCTGTCCCATTCATTTGCCGGATATTTTTCCTTTGGTATTATTCCGTTATTAATCGAACTAATCATAATTAAGGCATTAAAATTTCTTATTTCTGTTATTATCATCATTATAACATTTTTAAACTAGGAGTAGTCAAGAGTAACGAAATAACAAATAAATTTTCAACATAAACTAGGCTATTTTAAAATGCACGGAAGAACCCATTAGGAAACATTTATACATTTGTATTTCACACACCACACACACAAAACAAACACACATATGCAATCAATAATTACTATGGGGGAACGTGGAATTCGCATTTGTGTGTTTGCTTATCGTATTCACATGTTAATGTTTTGTATTCACTACACACAAACGTTTTTAAAAGTATAGATTAGATATTGGTGTATTTATGCCATATTAAGTTAGCGGAGCTAAAATATATTTCATTTTATGTGTTTAAAAAGTTAATGTTGAAAAATGAGTATTTCAAGTTGTTTAACTTTATGTTTATGTTTAACGCTGACTGCTATTACGTTTACATCAAATACTACTGCTTCAACTGATGACCCTAGCAGAGAGTTAGTGTTCCAGAGAGCCAGCAATCCAAACATTGACGTTATTGACGCTAGATACAACTTCAGCAATAAACCAAATAACAATAAATTGATATCCGATGTTTCTTCTCGCCTCGCTTGTTCAGTTTTGTGTTCGTTGGAAAATATTTTTACTTGCAATGGGTTTGAGTATGATGGAAGTAGAGGTGAATGTTTGCTTGTAACCAGCTTTTTGACTGGCGTCGTTCAGAGTGTCTTCAAAAACGTAACTCGATACAGACGCAAGGAATGTGAGTTTTTATTTCAAGTGTATTAACTTTGTTTAAATATTTGAAAATATCGACAAAATTTAAAAAAAATCATTTTGTGTATAACGTTGAAAACAGCTTGCCCACCCAGCACAACGTACGTACCTTCCGTAAGATCCTGCTTGACTGTGGTTGTTGGGTCACTTACCTGGTCCGATGCAAGGTACACCTGTAATAATATGAAATTCAACTTTCACCCTTTAATTCTTGACAGTTCAAGTGCTACTTTGGCTCTGGAAACATTTTGGAATTCTCAATCTGGTTTCAAATTTATATATTTTTTAAAATTTGTATTGGATTTTTATTTACAAATTTATAAAAATATTCAATGACGTTTATAAAATTTTATGTTATAACAGCTGTTGAAAAATGATTAATAAATTTTTTCGAATATGTCAAAATCACCTAAAATTTGAAAAAAAATGATGAAATTATTGGTTGTTTTTTAAATTTTTTTGTAATAATTTCATCATCCAAGATGCCGTTAAAAACGAATGCAAAACGATTAACGCTTTTTGCAACATATGGACGTCCGGCAAATGGCAATACAGCTATAAGTCTCCGTTTCTATGGCAACCATATCAGGGATGTGCCACCTTTCCGTTCATCTTTCAGAATTGGGACGCGGGCCAACCGGATAACGCGGCTGGCCACAATGGTTGGTTGATGTAAGTAGGAATGGGGATATTTAATTGAAGGAAAGTTTAAGAAAAATTTCAATGAGTAGCTAGCTCACTAAACAGATTATCATAGATCACTCTGCCGTTTGAATTAGTTAACTCTGAGGCAGTTTACTGCTACACCATGATTAATGTGAGACACGACTGTTGAAAGATCACATTGTAATTAAAATAATTCTATAAATGAATGGTATTGAAATGGGTGGTGTCAACGAAATAATAATTACAATTTGAATAAAGTTTGGGTACCCATGTATAAAGTAACTTACTAATGATGGCTTTGTTGATCAAAAATAATCTCGGTAAAAATATTCGAGTTTTTAAACAAAATTATAATAATTATTATTATAACTAGTATTAATTATAATTTTATATTGTATTATTATTAATACAAAATAGAGGCCTGCGTACATCTGACGGCTAACTTCATGTGGAACGATATGGACTGTTCTAACCAGCTTTGCGTCGTCTGCCAACTTGATCTCTATTGATGCAGACATCAATTTCATGTTGAGTTTTTTTTTTAGAAATTAAATGTTAAATCAAATGAATACAATTAAATTTTCAATGAAAAATGGTGAAAATAGTTTAAAGAAAAATACAAAAAAAACATTTTTCTCTTTTTACATTTCAATATTTCATAAAGTTCTCCAATTTTTTCAAATAAATTATATTTTACTACTAAAGATTTTCAGACATGGGTAGAATTCATTATAGATTCATGAAATGGTCAGACGCATGAGTTGCTTAACAAAAAAATATGACCTTTAAACTTTTACCCACCTAATAATTAATATTTTTGACATTAAGTTAATTTAAAAAAAACTTTTAGAACTCATATACTGGTGAATGTTGTGTTCAATAACACTTTCATTTTCTGAATTTCATGAATCTTTCTTGCCCTTTACAAAATTTTTGGCAGTGAAAATTTTTGTTGCATGTTCATTTATTACTTGAAACTTTTATTTTAAAATCTTGCCAATTTTTTTTCAAGATAAAAGTGTTGTTTCGCAAAAAATAATTTAAAAAAAAATTGACATAAACGATCGCCAACATTAAAAGACTTGTAACCAGCAATCGTGAAATTGAAAACAGTTGCATCAAGAGAGGCAGATCTTATGAAATACAGTTTTTATTTTTTTCTCGTGCCTTATCTTTTCGAGACATTGGCGACCATCGACCTTCACAAAACCCGATCTTTAACACTTTGTAGTCGTTGAAATGTGATGGTATTCAACAAGTGGACACAACTATGAAGAGATGCAAAAATTGCATCTACCTTTGATATTACAAACAAACAAATAAATAAACAAACCGTTACGATAACACACACACACGGACACACAACACACACGCACATACAGCATACACGCACACACAACACACACTCACACAGAGTATTCACATTCATTACATCCGTAATTAGCAATTAGCAATTGAATTTAAGACGTTATACTTATTTTCAGTGAAGAGTAATTCTTTTGACAGAGGATGTTTTTTTGTTTCGAGGGCGCCTCAGTCGCTTGCCAGGGCGCTTTATAAGTCAACATTATAATTATCATTATCTTTATTTCTTTGTTAAAAATTACATATAATGTATTTTCTATTTTTTATGGTAGGCCTATATGAAGACTATCATTAATTTTGTATTTTTCAATAACATTTCAAGACGGTAGCAGTATTATTACTTATATTAAACTGTAATTGCTTGTTTATCATTGGAAACGAGTTAAAAGACGAGAAATGAAATGAAGTTACGATGATATGATTATTTGAACGAAACACAGCGTACCACGAACTTGTTCTTCCAGACGTTGTCCACAAATTTTTTAAACTTTCGAGAATAAATAAGCAAACAGGAAATGTTATGCCTTGTTGAAAATTGAGCTAGCTTCCGTTGCAAAAATAAAATCAACTTCATCTCTCGCGGCTCGAGTTAGTATATTTACATCTTGACGCACACAGGTTCATCTCGTAAAATTAAAATGAACACACACATATACGTACAAGCCTATTAAGACATACTCATGCATTTGTAAATAACAACCGCCTGCAGCTATGATTTTGTCAAACATAACGATTACTATTACCATTATTAATGTTATTATTAATGGTAAACTTTGGCTGTGAAAATTCGGTAGTAGTAGTTGTAGTAGCAGTAATGTTTTTTTGGAGGTTATCCAGAGAGCATGCATGCAAGCACAGCTGATTCGTTGATTGATTGTTGTTCATCCAACAATCAATGTCTGCTTTAAATTTGTTCATTGGTTGTGCCTCAACAAGTTCATTTGGTAATGAGTTCCGAGCATTTAGCGCTCTATTGAATAAGAAATTCTCTCTGCCTCTATGTCTTGTTAACTCTAGAAATATTTCAAACTGTGACCGTTTTGATTTTGACTATGCTAAAACGATTATTTAAATTAATTTTGTCTAAATTATGCATGATTTTAAACAACTGAATCAAATCTTCTCTTTTTCTTCTTTCCACCAAAGTTTTTAATCCTAATTTGTTGTTCATAAATTACTATATATATATATATATATATATATATATATATATATATATATATATATATATATATATATATATATATATATATATGTAATTATGACATATATTATACAGATCAATACTCTGAACGCCATATAAAAGAATGTTTTGTTAGTTTTACATCGGTTAAAACTGAAAGCAAGAATGAATTTATATTTGCCATTTAGATTCTCATTCTTAAACATTTATTTTATGACTATTGCTGTTACTGGTACTTTCATTGTTACTTCGTACATCGGATTGAAGAAACAAACATTATACCAACTTGCTAGCAACACCAACATCGATGTAATTGATGTGAGGTACAATTACTCCAGTAAACTTTCTAACAGTAGATCAGTGGCCAAAGTTCCTTCAAGATCTGTATGCTCCATGTTTTGCTCTTCAGAAGTTTTATTTTCATGCGCCGGTTTCGAATATGAGGATAGTTTTAAAAAATGTTTGCTGCTTAATAGTTTCTCGTCTGGCGTCAATATTTCTCCTCGTATAGTTAGATTTCGTATTAGAGAAGGTTGTTTTGAATTTTTTTATCCATATTTAAACATCGTTTCATATAAATTTTCTGCTTTTTTCAATTTAAACATTTCTACTTATTGATTTTTTGCTGTATAAATATTTAAATTCAGTTTTATAAAGTACATTTTGACATTTACATCATAAATGGCACATTTTCGACAAAAAAAATTGCAGCGGTCAGTTGATGACCAACATTAATATTCTTTCTAAACATGTTACAAAATATTCAAGCATTAAATTAGTAATAAAGTAGGAGGGTAATGAAATAAAAATAAGAAATTGTTATTTGAATGCACTAACCACCTCAAACCGACCAGCAGCATGTCCCGCCAACTCGACCTATCACCCTTCCATACGATCCTGCTTGACCTTGATCGTTGGCTCCATGACCTGGTCAGACGCCAGGGCAAAATGCAACAATTTGAATTTGAACTTTCACCCTCTGGTCATCAACAGTAATGAGGTCTTTGTGACTCTGCAAAGATATTGGAGCTCGCTTCCAGGTTCTCGTTCGTTTTGATTGAAGTTTTAATTGAAATTTTTATTATTCATATTTAGACCACAACAAAAGTTGAACGCTTAAATTCAATTTCGTCAATTTTGTTTTTAATAATAATAATAATTGTGCAATTTGTCATTATTATGATTTTATTTTATTTATTATTACTTATTATAAGAAGCATTTTAAATATGAACGATTGGTTGACAGCTGAATCAACAAACCAGTGCAAGGGAGGTTCTTATTGGAAAATTTGGACATGCGGCAGGTGGAAACTGGACGTACCCTCCCCGTTTCACTGGCAACCCTATCAGGGATGTGCCACATTCCCGTTTGTTTACACGAGATGGGATTCTGGTCAGCCCGACAATTTGTACCAAAGTACCGGTCAGTCAGTAATAATAGTGACAATGATAATAAATGGTGAATGATTGTAATGATGATGGCAAGGTCGACAACGATAATAAAGATAATGATGATGTTAATATGATTTTGTTTTTTAGTTTGATGGTTTGATTGTTGACACCTAGATGATAAAATGTAGCTGATGACATGATTGTGGTGATATTTATTATGATAAGGCAATGATTATTTACTTTAGTTGGGTTATTGCAATGGTGATGACATTAATGAGAATGGTGTTATATTAATAAATTCCAAATCAATGAAATACTTAAGGCTGTGTCCATCCGATGTTTAACATGCAGTGGAATGATAATGACTGTAGAGATCTACAATGTGTCATCTGTCAACTCGATCTATATTGATTTAGTATTCAGGATCTGTGCATGTTTGTGTGTGCGTGTGTATTTATGTGTGTGTTTGTATGTACGTATGTGCTTGTATGCATTTTTCGGAGTTACAATATTTGTGTTTACGTTGTTCAGCAATGCACACTACCATTAAAATTCTCTCTGTTTGTATGTGTGTGTGCGTGCGTGCGTGTGTGTGTGTAAGTATGTTATTTGCATCATTTCAAAGACGAGCCTATCCTTTTCATTATAAATTTATATCATTGTAGTTTTTTGAAAATGTTTCACTTGAATGAAGTTTCGAATCACGGAAAAAACTGACAACAAAAATTCCTTTGACTAGGAAGTGTATTTACGCATTTATGATTTTGCTACGATTGTGGTGAGTACGAGTAGAGACAAAGACAAAAAAAATAAGAACAAGCAAAGAACAGAAACACGCATCAATACAAATTCTTTGTTTGCTTCGCAAATGCTGTATTATTTATTGAACATCCAATGATCATTTTTAAAAATTTTCTCGAATACATCATGTGCAGTGTTCTATTAAATTCATTTTTTTAGAGTTAAATGAACCACATTAATGAATAAACATGCATTCAAACTCGGCGTGATGATATTAAAAATTTAACAAAAATACTTCAAAAGCGTACAAAAATGTAAACAATGCCGCCTACCTGTTCACAAAAACTGGAAAACATTCAAGATACAAGAACAATGAAAACGCTGATAAATTATAATTCATTGACAAAAGATGAATTATTCATAAATAATTAATGAATGAATAAACAATGAAAAATAATACTGCGTTTCTACCAACATTTTGATGTTTTTGAAGATATAAAAATAGATGTATGTATGCTACTGTGGAATAACATCTGAAAGATGCAGTTTAAACCTGACTAACATAAAATTACAGAGCCAGCATTAATTAATGCACATGCTAATACAACTACATTTGTAACTGAATAACATCATTGGTTTAGTCATACTCCCTCACATTCCCATGAAAATTGTAATGAAAATGATGAGCACATATTATTAATTTCACGATTATTAAACATTAATTATCTGTTATTCCATTGCTAACGCAGTTTCAAGTTGAATAATTTCAGTGGAGAGTTATAGTATAAAAGCCTTTCCTGTTACAACTCGGATAAAACTAAATCTTTTATATAGCAAATAAGCAGCTTTTTCAGGTTTGTGTTCAGCAAACAACAACGGTGTCTCTTGTAAAGTATTATATGCTATATGTAATGCAAAGATAGATGCAACTTTTATGACGTGTAAAGTACATGTGTTGTTTTATTTTGCTTACCTAGTGAGCAATTTTTGAATGACAAATGTGACGCATTAATTAAAATTTCATCATTCACTCATCTTTCAATACTTTTTTATTTTTTATCCCGTAACTCTGACTGACTATGCTTCGATAAGATGGAATGGATTTGAACCAGGGCCATCACGAAATAGTCAGGACGAGGGACATGTCCCTTCTATCATCTGAGCTATCTAGATAACCAATGTGAAAATTGTAAAAATGAATCGACACATTAATTAGTTAAACGCACACAAACAAACACGCACGCACGCACACACACGCACGCAAACATACACACACACGCGTACCTGATGAAACAAATTTATTATGAATCAATACTCTTAAATTATGTATTAAAATGAATAGAAATTGAAGTAAACATATATACAAATACATACATGAACATATTTATATATATATATATACATACATATATATATATATATATATATATATATATATATATATATATAGTTTGAATACTTTGATACAAATGTACAAAAATGCATATTAATTAGAATACTGTTATACAAATGTCAAACTGCATTTAGGACCATACTGCATTTATTTGACGGACTCCTCAACATCGGCTTGTGAATTTTGCGAGAAATACTAACTGAAATGTTGAAAATGGAGAATTGCACAAACTATATTCGTTATGTTTGTTATAATGATAAAATTATGGATAATAAAAATATTTCTTTGACGTTGTTCATATCAGCTATATTTTCATCTTTTTTCTGTTGCACAATCACGTCAGCTGCAACAACTTCTCCGGACGTTTCTAACATCATAAACGCAGAAGGAACACATTTTGATGGTGTTCATTTCAACACAACAATTACAATTACTACTTCCACTACATTGGATTCACTTACGGGTCCAGCAACACTAATCGTTTCTACGAATACAACTATCACGGAAGCTGCAGACGCAACTACTACAACTACTCATGAAGCGGTTAATACAGCTGACGTTATCATTATTACTAGCACCATTACTACAACTGCTGTTACTAATACCGATTTCTCAACTATAACTACTTCATCATTAGTTATAAAGTTTACGACGACTACTACCACCACTTCTACTACTACAACAACTACTACTACTACTACTACTACTACTACTACTACTACTATTACTATTACTATTCTTACTACTACTATTACTATTGCTGATACTACCATTAGTGATACATATACATCTTATGTCAGTGAAGCCACTACTGGCGCTTCTAATTTTTTTACAACATCGACAATAACTGTTGTTTCGAACAAGCCAAGTACAACCATTGAAAATAATACTCTTGATTTGACAACAACCACATTTGCTTCAAACGGACATAAGTCAGTTTCCACTGCTATTAATTATATTACGCATGCATTTTATCCTACTACAATTACTGATTTTGATACTAATCTTATTGCTACTTTTTCGTCTGCAAATATTTTTACAATTATTACCACTACAAGTACCACTACTACTACTGCTACAACAACAACAACAACAACAACTTCTACTACTGCTACTACTACTACTGCTACTACTACTACTGCTGCTGCTACTACTACTACTACTACCACTACTGCTACTACTATTACTAATACTACTGCTACTTCTACAGATACTACTTCTTCTTTGACTATTACTTATACTACAACAAACAAAGATTTTTTTTCTAATAATCCAACCACCAGTGAAAATAAAATTTCTAACAATGCCACTTCAGTTACCACAACGAAACTCTCAGCTACTGTTATTACTGATACATCTTTTAAAAATATTTTTACTTTTGAAGATCCGTTCAATAAAACCACAACGAATACTAACACCAATCATTTTATTACCGCTGCATTTACTACAGTATCCAAAAATGTATTCACAGATAGCGAAGCACCTATAGAAAATACTTTCATGACATCTTTACCAGCAGCTGCAGTTAGTATTACTACTACAGTTACAATTACTACTCCCGCTATTGTTACTACTTCAACTGCTACAAATTTTATTACTACTACTAGTACTACCACTACTACTACTACTACTACTACTACTATTACTACTAATACTCTTATTACTTCTAATATTATTACTACTACTACTACTACTACTCTTGCTACTACTACTACAACTACTACTTCTGTTAATACTTCAACTTCTGTTACCATAGCGTCAGCTGGTAGTAGCAATACTACATTTGCATATCCTACTAGAAATACTACGACAGCTTTCACCGATTTTTCCGTTATTTCAACATATACCACTCCTGTTACCACTACTACTTCTCAAAATTTTTCAAACGTTGATGTCGCCTTTACAAGCGCTTCAATTTTTATCACTACTAATACTGTTGATAACACAGTTAAAAGTAGTATCAACCTACACAGTATTAACCTTTTTTTCACAACTACTGTTTCCGCCCCAGACTTTGCGTACGGCACACATTTTTCTACTCTCTTTACTGGTCCTACTACAGGTTTGTCTGTTACAACAAATACTGTTGTGGCAGCTTCTACTACTGCTAATATTTTAACTACGGATATCATTTTCATCACCACAGCTACCACTACTATAACTACTACTGCAGCTGCAATTTTCACTGAGGTTAGAAACACTAGGACAGTCACTACTACTACTGCTACAACTACTACTAATACTGTTACCGCCACTACTACTGATATTTTTACATTGTTTACTACTGCTACTACTATTACTTCTACTAGTGGTACTACAGCTGCCACTGCCAACCCTACTACAAATATATTCAATACTGCTATTTTTACCAATGGTGTTGCTACTGCTACTTCAGCCTTTGCAGGTACTACTACTGTTACTACTGTTTTTGATACTATTTATACTAATACTACTGCTAATACCTATGCCATTACTACTACATCCATCCGAGGCGAGTTCTCTTTCGTCATTTCTTCCCTATCTACAACTAATACTAACGACTATACTGATGACACCATAAGTACCGCAAATAATACTGCAGTTACTAGTGGTTTTACTGCTAGTACTACTTACCTTATAGAGAATACTATTTCAGTTACTACAAGCGCAATTACCACCATTTTCTCTACTGATTTTTCTGATTCTTTGAACTCTAAATCAAATGTTGTTGATAAATTTACGACAGCTACGACAACGCGCAATTTTATTGCGGATGAAATTTCTACAAATGATACTAAATTTATTGATACTTCTACTACAAACACGAAACTTACTGACGCTGTTACTAGCGATTATGAAAGTACCACTGCTAAAATTTATGACAGTACCAGCAACAATAGTCTTCTTGCATTAAATAATTTCATGACAACGATGAATTCAATAACCTTCATTCCAACTGTTTCAAAAGATGAAAACTTACCAATTTCATCTACTACTACTACAATTAGTTCTACAATTATAAGTAGTTTTATTACTAATTTAACTACTACTGTTGCTTCTATTACCCCTATTACTACAACAACTTATTTTACTAATTTTATTACTACAACTACTGCTGCAATTGTTACAACTGCAACTGTTACTACAACCATAATTAGTACTGCCAACAGTAATACGACTAATACTTCTGCTGCTGTTACTTCTATTACTGTTACTATTATTGATACTACTACCACTATTACTGATACAACTACAAAAAGTTTCACCGCGAACGTTGATACACTTAAGAATAAAAATACAAGACAAGCGCTGTACCACATAACTGACAGTATCAAAGTTGATGTTATTGATGTGAGATACAACTTTAGCAGCGGACTAAGCAACTACAAATTGCTGTCAGATGTTTCTTCTTGTGTTGCTTGCTCTATAATGTGCCTGTTGGAATTGAAGTTTGTTTGTAGGGGGTTTGAATATAACTACAAATTCAAAAAATGTAAAATATCGAGCGGTTTTGTGTCAGATGATTATGAAACAGCAGAACAAAATGTTGTTAGGTATCGTCACAGAGAAGGTTAGTATCTTTTGCGTCATTATTTTTTTGTTTCAAGCTTGAATTTAAAAAAAATTAAAATAAATAACATTCATATAATTGTCCGTCATTAAACAGTTTGTCCTGAAAGTACAACCTACTTACCATCAATAAGATCCTGTTTGACCTTAGTTACTGGGTCAATGACCTGGTTTGATGCCCGGGTCACGTGTAATAGTATGACATTGAATTTTCACCCTTTTGTTGTTAATAATGCAGATGCTGCCATGGCATTGCACTCCTATTTGGAATCTCTTCCAGGCTGGTTTTATTGATTTTTTATTATTTTTTAACTTTGTTGGTAGTTCATAGTTTGGCAGTTTTGAATGGTTTCCAATTTTAATAGTTTTCATTAGTTATAAGCGATGATTTTAATATTAGTTTAGAGTTAAATTTTTTAACACATCTTAACGAATAAAACACATTTTTCTGTTCAACTCTCGTCTATTTCAGACTAATATACGATACCTGAATTTGAAATATACACGTTTAATTTGAAGAAATTGTCTTCTAGTAGAAAATAGTAGCCAGCAAACTGATTCAAGCAAAAATACTGCAAACTATTATTAATAAAATATTATTATAATAGCGAAACTTCATTTATAATATGGCGATACCATTCCAATATCGACTGACTGCATTGCATCCCAGACAATATCGATCTCTCGAATGTTAACAAATGGATATGCTCACTCACTTCACTATAGACTATCTAACCCACTGTTGTTTAGCATCTGAATTATTCACGATAATTCATTTCTTATCGATTTTGTTGATAATTAATGACCAGAATTATTTTTAATTGTATTGATATAGATACTGAGCTATAGTCTTTGAAACAATAGTTAATAATAATATTTGGTGATTCTAGTTTTGAGACAAATTAAATTAAAGCTGGTTTGAAAATATGAGAAAAATACAGAAAGTAGATGTAAGTGCGTTTATTAATTACATTCAATTCAATTGGGAAGTCGTTTTCAGGTTGGTTTCAATCAGAATGTCTCAGTTGAAACTGATTAAGCTCTTTTAATCGTAACAGATATAAAATATTTAAAGATTATTTTTGAATAGATTACTGAAAAAAAAATCATTAAAACATGAAATAAATTTAACATTTTTTTACGTATTTTATCACACCCAGAGGACCAAACAAATCAGTGCAAAACCGATCTTTATTGGAAGATATGGACTTCCGGAAAGCAGGAATCCAATGACGCCATTTCTGAGTTTCAATGGCAGCCATATCAGGGATGTGCCTGTTTTCCGGTCGTATATCAAAACTGGAATGATGACGGTCCCAAATGGGATAATCATTCTTCTTCGGATCGGACTGATGGTTGGATTGATGGATATATTGATAGTGTTTGATACTGAGGAGGTGATGATGATTATGACGACAACGATTATGGTGGTAACAATGACGATGATCATAAATGAGTATTTCAATTTAATCGAAGTATAATTATATAATTATTATTATAAAACGAATAACAAGAAAGAATAATCGTAATAATAATAACAATGTTATAATTAATAGAGAAAATGAATTAATTTAATTATGAAAAATAAACAAAAAATTCAGCTTGCATACATCCGTCGGTGAACATGGAATGGCTGCTGACAGACTGTTCCATTCTGTTTTGTGTGATTTGCCAGCTGGAGATATTTTGAATGTGCAACATCATTCCAAAATAATGCACAGTAAATATTTTGAAACATTCAAATATGATCTGGAATTACCAAGAACATTTTTAAATGATCACAATTCCGTAGAAACCATAGATATTTTGAAAAATTACTCACCGCATCATATGACGAACGCGTATTCAGAATAAATATTTATTCAGCAAATATTTTAATATAACAATTTTCGTTTTATTATATTTTTTTCTTTTTCTTGATCTCATTTAGACCTAGACGACACTTCGATGTTTCAGGTTCTAGTACAACATTTTATTCATAATAAAAACACCGACAGAAATAAAAATAATTATATATATATATATAAATATATATATAAACACACATACACACAGATAAATAAATATTTGTTGTTATTATTACTTTAATCATATAATTATTTGAAAAAAATAAAAAGGTTTTACGCACGTAATCACGTTAGAACCACACTTACAACAGACATGACGTCATCGTCGTCGTCATAATAATAATAATAATAATAATAATAATTTATTATTAGAGGGCGTGAACTGAACGCGCCTATATGTTGCTGTCGTTGTGCAAAACTTCACATAGATAAACAAATACACATAACAAACACGTTTTTGGCATTATTACAACAAGCAGACTATTTAGACAACAATTATATAGAAGTTTGTTTACATATATATGGAAAAACATTCTAAACAATATATAATAAATATATATATATAAATGTATTGTTATCAAATATAAAATTGAGCTGGTTTTTCAGATGGTTTTCTTGTCAATCAAAGGTAATCTGAAAATAATATATAAATAATAATAATTATAATAACAATAATAATAATAACAGTGATTTATTTTATTACATATATTCATCCATTTCTTGATTAATTAATTTGTTGTAAATATTAAAGAAAAATTACTAAGGCTATTATTAATACTATCACTTGCAGGTCATCATGTTTGAAATGAACATCTTTTTAGAAAAAATCTGCACAGTCCAAATTTTTATCGCCACAGAATTGATATTTCTTCTAAGTATCAATTCCACCTTAAGCATTTCATCACCGCCGTCGTCATCATCATCGTCATCAGCGTCGCTCGTCATCGTCATTATATTTTTTTTAATTTTTATTATCATCATAACCATCATCGTTATACCTAGCATCGTCATCATTTTAATCATCATCGTCATCATCAGCTCACAATAATCACAATCTTTTTCCTCATCGTTGTTGTCATCATCCCCATCATAATTATCACCACAATTTTCATCACTTCATCACCATGAGATCACCATCATTTTCATCATCATACTAATCCTCGTCACCCACCATCCTAACCATCACAGACTTACTGTTGGATGGCTGACCGGGGTACGTTATAATGGCTGGCGTGTGGGGTTGGCTCGTTATGTTCGCTACATGCATGGCGTTTGGCCTGCATTCATAAATTATTTCAATTCGTAAACATTTTTTTTTCATAATTTTATTAAATTTATTTTAATCAGAGGTGTAGTCATTCATCTGCAAATTCATACGTTCATCCATTCATCTAGCATTATTTCTGTAGTTATTAAATTATTTAGTCCATTCACTCATTTATTCATTCTTTCATTCATTCATTCATTCACCAGTCCCTAAACCAACCCGGTCGACAGATGGTAGGGTGGTTGCAAGTAAGCGTGAGAGTTTTGGTGGTGGTAACTTGGTGAACATGTCCAGTAATTTATCGAGTTCTGCAGTTGTAGTAGACACAAGGTTAAAGAGTTAATTTATAAATATGTTTTTTACAAATTACATTGTTTAAACATGTTCTGAACCAATAATTATAAATATACATATTTCACTCTCTTTCTTTCTTTTTCTCTCTCTCCTCTCTCTCTCTCTCTCTTTCTCTCTCTCTCTCTCTCTCTGTCTCTCTCTGTATGTCTCTCTGTCTCTTTCTTTATTGTACATTGATGCAAAAGTACCCGCATAACGTAGGTCTATATAGGAAACGTTATCCAAACACTGAAAAAGAGCATCAATACACACATACTTATGTACGTATGTGTGTGTGTGTGTGTGTGTGTGTGTGTGTGTGTGTGTGTGTGTGTGTGTGTGTGTGTGTGTGTGTGTGTGTTGGTGTGTGTATACTGGATATAATAAAATCAAATTATTGGGCAATAAAAAAAATTATGAGAAAAACTTCCTCTGCCCTAAGGAGCTATAGAGAGAATTTGTGAATAGAAAAAAGTTCAGCGCTATATAAATTCAAACAAAGACTTTTAATTCAGTTAAATTTAAATTGTTAAATTATTTTTCTTTGTCACGCGCATGCTCAATGAGAAAGAGTTTGCAAGGTGGCAGTCATCGTCCGGTTTAGAAAATTTTCTTCAAATTGATTTTTATTTTAATTTTGTCTCAAACTAAGGAATAATTTTTTTTGCGGTTTTATTTCTAAGATATTATATAAATAAAAAATTGTAAAATATTTAAAAATATAATTATAATAGAAATATAATGTTTAATCATTTATTACATTTATCGAGTCTTAGTATTTTCATCTCATTATTGTCCCGCAACTTAAACATCGGTCAACATTACCATTATTTTATACTATTTTGTAACTGTCACGGATCTTAAAGTTGTTTGTCATGTCTACTTCATTCCTCTATGTCATCTACAAACATCAACATAACTTCATCATTAAAGTTACAAGTATCATCGTAATCATCATTTCATCATCATTATCACAAACATCCCAGCTATCATCTTATAGTACGTATAGTCACTCACCTCGCAGTCACTTATATCACAGTCATCAGTTGCAACTTACACTGTGGAAATCGCCTGGAGACCTCGCAAGACCACAGTCGACCAAAACGCTGCCACTGCCGCTACTACTTCCATTGAGAGTACTACTACTTCTAAAAGTACAGCAATTAGTAGCGTTGGTAGAAGTAACAATTTGATTTATCGCACTGCTACTATTGCTGTTGTTGTTGTTACTGGCGTTAATATTACTTTTACTCTGGTCTATTTCCGTCTTTGTAGAATCGCGACTGCCACTGCTACTTATGTTATTAGTGGTAGTTGCATTATTACCGCTAGAACTACTTTGGCTAATGTTGTTGTAACTAGTGTTGTTGTTGTTTCCGCTATTGTTGTTGCTGTTGTTGCCGCTTACTATGTTGTTGTTGTTGTTGTTAATGTTATTTTGATTGCTAACAATTTGCTGGTTAATGTTGTTATTGCTATTGTTATAATTATGATTAGTATTGTTACTCTGACTGTTGACATTAATATTGTTATTATTATTAATGTTGGCATTGTTGTTATTGTTGTTACTATTGTTGTTATAATTGTTGTTAGCGTTGGGTTCCTTGCCCCAGTAACATTTGACCAGATGTCCGTTGACCTCTGACCCGTGAACTCCAACGATGGCGTGGCTGGCTGACTCCTTACTGTCAAATCTAGTGGTCATATTTTCAAAATTAGTATTGAGTTTTTGTTAGATGAAATTGCTAGAATCAATAAGTAATGAATTGGATAGGTCGTTTAAATTAGAATTTTTATTGATTTGAGTATGAATGAATTAGTGTGATGGTGATCATTTTCCATTTTTAAATTGAAGGAAAATTCAATAAGAAAATAAACGAACGAACGAACAAACGAAAGAATAAATGAATGAATAAATGAATGAATGAATGAATGAACGAACAAACGAACGAACGAACGAACGACTGAATAAATGAATAAATGAAGGGTTGATTGAGTTAAATGGTGAACTAACAAAAGAATGAAAAAAACTTTAAATTCAAAAAACGAGCAGGCAAACGAAATAGATGGACAGATGAATAATATAATAAATCAATAAAAGAATAAATGGATAGATAGACGGATGGCTGGATGAATATCTCTCCTAATATTGATCCGACACGCATGGATGAACGCGCTAACGATGTAGAACGGCGTTATTTATAGCGATCGTACTTGCGTAACAAATTGAGGAAGTGAAGAGGAAGATGATGTAATGTTGGAGCTATACAAACAGGTAGCTAGTGGATGTGTGTGTGTGTGTTTGCCTGTGTGTGTGTGTGTGTGTGCGGCTTCACGTGTGTGTGTGTTTGCCGTGTGTGTTTGCCTGTGGGCGTGGGCGTGCGTGCGAGTATGCGTGTGGTTACATGATCTAGTGACAGTGTTAACACTCGTCAGTACACTATTTCAATTTATCCTTTGGTAGTTTTCTATAAGGTTTGACATTAGGTTCACGTTTGAAATTAGGTATTATCGATGGTTTTATTGGTTGTAGTTGTTTATATTAATTATATCATTAATAAAAAGAGAATGATTTTGGTTAAAATCACAATTAATTTCAATCTTTTAATGAAACTTTTTAAAATTGCAGTTTTTTTTCTGACAAAATGATGGACATAGCTTCTTTGTCGCCCCGAAAAAATTTGCATATTAGATATTTTTGTGAATGTTCTTCAACAAACTTTGTTTTTTTCATTGTCATCATCATCATTAAAGCCATAGGACGCTATAGCATTATAGCAGCAGTAACAACACCACCATCACCATCATCGTCGTCGTCGTTACCATCATCTTAGTGTCACCATCGTCACCATCATTATCATCATCATAATCGTCCTCTCATCATCATAATTATAATGCCGTCGTCATCATCCTGGCATCATCATCCCATCGTCATCATTATCATACAATCATCATCATTACCTGACAAAAACATATCCTTTCTCTTTAAAGATTCTCATCTCGTGAATGATTCCGTAACTGCCAAAAGTCTTCTGAACTAATTCCTCTGGTGATGATGATGATGGTTATGATGGTGGTGATGATGATGATAGTATTAGTGAATTATGATGGTGAGAACAGGGATGGCGATGATGATTATGATGTGATAACGATGATGTAGCTTGACGATTGTGACGCGCGTGGTGATGTTAATTGATAAGTTATTAATAACATTATCAATGAAAATTTTCAAAAATAATGATGATAACGATGATGATGATAATGATGATGATGATAATAATGATGATGACGATGATGATGATGATAATGATGATGTCGATGATGATGGTGATGACCAAAAAGATAATAAGAATAATAAACGTGCGTTTTTTAAAACATTCCTCGTGAAATAATTTTGACATGACCTAAGCACTAGACAAGTGGACGTCATCTTGCTGACGCAGAAATGACGTAAGGTATCACGTGACATAAGCGTAGCAGACAGTTGAAGAAATTATGACAAAATATTTCTAATGTTAAGACAACAGGCCATAAAAGGCCTGCAATATCACTTATTGTCATTATCGCCATAGCAGTGGATTCTTTTAATAGTTTTGCAAACAAAAGACAGTAACTTTTTACGATTGTTTTGATGTTATCACTAGTAGTGTTGATGTCATTTGGCATTAGAAGTTGTAAGATATATGTGTGTATTAGAAAAATGTATCATGATGCGATGGTGATATGATGATTAAGATAATGATATCAACAATGATGAGAACGATTCGGGATACAGATATCATCTATGTTTAGAGTAGGAAAATACTCTTATCACAATCATAGCCACCTACCAACCGACTCTGCTCTAGTTATAAAAAAAAATTTTTTGATAAAGTTTCAAAAGAGCCAGCGAAACTTCTGGAAATATGAGTAGCCCAGCCTAATTTATATCTCCACTAATAGCACAACAAAATTTTTATTGGTATATAAATAAATTTTTGGGTGTCAGCTACCACCGACCCGTCAGTCCCGTAAGAATTCCACCACAGTACACCGTGCAGTTGGTTGGGCTCGACTGGCTGAACACCTCTTGGAATGTTAGTGGTTTGTTGTTGGCACCTGGACGAGAATAATTATAAATATTAATGAAAATAATTATTAATATTAATGAGAGTTATTAAGATAAAGTCATTAAAGTTTATAAAATGAATTTGTTTATGTTTATTTGTTAATTAGTTGTATGATTTTATGAGTTGAGATTTTTTCTTTAAATGTTTATTTATGCAATATTTGGATTTGGATTTTTAAGATGCTCGAATAGAGCAAAAAAAAGATAATAGTTAAAATTACGATAGGTGCTGTAATGTGTTTTTAAACAGAACAGCGGTGTACTGCAATCATTGACTCATATAAATGCAATCAAATTTAAAATACCAAAAGTTATATCAAAATATTTTTCATTGAAGCAACTTGAGTAGTGCCCTGATAGTACTGATACTAAAAAAATGATACTAAGGCACCATCAATATGTATGGCAGAATGATACCTACCCTCTTTGTGGGAGGAGTTAGAAGGCTTTCTTGAAGCCCAATTGGTCCTTATTGTTCTACTGCCCAGCCATTGGCCATTCATGCAGCCAATGGCGTTCTCGGCATCCTAAATAATTAGAGAAAATTAATTTATAATCACTACATTTGTTTGTGAAATGTAAGTTGGGTTGATTGAACGAGTTTATAATTTCTAACACTTCGAGACCTGGTTCAAATTCAATACTTGCCAAACTAGTACTATTATTACTGCTACTGCCGCTGCTACTGCTACTATTACTATCGATAATGATCATGATAAAGATAAAAATAATAATAATGCTGATAATAACATTAATAATAATATCATTGTTGAACCACCAGTGTACGATCATTGATGTGAGTAACACTACTGAAACATTCCAAATGGTCCTCTCAAAAAATTAAGCAGAGAGTAATGTAATTAAACTGTAAATGGTCCATTTATTTGAATTAATACGGATTCAAAAAGACTCCTTATCACCGGTTTAGTATTCATTAATTCATTAAGTGTACGTGCGTTACTATGCTCATGTCTTTTGTTGTTGTTGTTGTTATTAATGCAATTGTTGTTGTTGTTGTTGTTATTAATGTAATTGTTGTTGTTGTTAAATGTTATAGTTGTTGTTGTTGCTATTAATGTTTTGGTTGTTGTTGTTGTTAAATGATATAGTTGTTGTTGTTAAATGTTATAGTTGTTGCTGTTATATGTTATAGTTGTTGTTGTAATTTATGTTATGGCTGTTGTTGTTATTATTGTTATGGTTGTTGTTGTTGCTGAACTTGTGTTGTATGTTTAGATGTTTTTAATGGTTATAATGGTAAAAAATTTAGAGAAACACTACTTCTTCTATGGCGAAAATATTTAAAAATAAATAAAAATAAATAAACTTTTTAAATATTTTCAAATAAATTTACAGAGTACTATAACATAGTTAGAATAAATTATTGGTATAACAATTTTATGCACAAACGAACGAAATACAAATACAAAATACTTTTTAAACTAACAAGGACTGCAGTAAGAATTTCGAGTGGAAATACTTAGACAATAAAGTTCAATTACTCAACGTTTTAACAATTTCAATTAGAAATACTAAAATAAAGTAAAAAGTAGTTAATGCTATCCCGATCTTATAAATCAGGTGAAAATATTAAAATAAATGAAGTAAAAATTCTCGTTGTCTTAATATTTTCGAATAAAATTACAAATAATGATAAAATTACTCAATACAGTGTAACAAAAATGTTTAGACAAAAAATATTCACAAGATATGATAAAAAAAAATACTAGCCTCTTTATTGACAAATGAAACAAAGCCATATCCTTTGGATTTTAACGTTTGTTGGTCCTTAATGACCTTGCAGTCCCTGGTTCGTACGTGGAATTTGTGATGTGTTTGCATGGTAGAGGGAAAAAAATAGTTTATGAAATCTTTATTTGGTAATAGCTATTGAAAAAAATAAAAATACTGACGTAGTGTTTTTACTGTTAGTCACATCGTTGTAACTGAGTGTGTGTCTGTGTAGTGTTATTTTATAGTGAAAAGGTTGATACTAAGTTTGCTTTTTGCTAAATTAGTTGCAAGTAAAACGTTTATAAATTAATTTTCAAATAACTTTTTAAATCAACACCACTATCTGTTTTCTAAATTGACAAATATTTTTTTGAATTCTTCTGTCGGTACAATTTTTGCGATTTGATAATTTAATTTTAAGGAGCGAAATTCTGATTTATTCATGAACAACGTCGTCAATGTTGTCATAGCCATTGTCATCATCCTAATCCTCGTCAACGTTGTCGTCATTATTATCTCTTTCATCATTAACATCACTAGCTCTTACATTCATCGTCAACGCCATCATCACTATTACCTCTTTCGCCATTAACACCATTACCTTTTACATATAGCCGATGAAATTGCTATTCATCTTCAACGTGGCAAATGTATATTTGAACAAAATTATAGAAATGTTAGGCTTTTTCATTTTAAAATAACAAACTCGGATTTTTAAAACTCTAAAATAAAATATCTTTTCCAAGTTAACCACTAAAAAAATATTGACAACCATTCCAAATTTTCCACTGAGACGCCGCACCAACAGACAAATCATCCAACAATTTTTTCGAAATTCCTTCCAAATCAAAATATTTTTCAAAATATTTTTAACAATTTTCTTTTGATTTACGGTTATTTTCCAACAAGTTTACTAACCTCAAAAAATGATTTTTCATTTATATTTAAAAAAAAGAGAAAAAAATTTTATAAAACGAAAGAAAACGTGCTGTGAGAGTCTTCAGGTTAATTATTCAAAGTGCCTATTCAATGGCACTCAGTTATGCAGGTGTGATGTAAAAATACTGTCTTAGTCAGGAGCGGATTTTAGCAGAGACACAACCAGGGACGGGTCTAGGGGGCCCAAGAGGCAGAGGCCTTGGAGGTGGAAAAATTTTGAGAGCCATGGATTTAAAAAATATTTTACTATTTGTATTTTTATGTGGGTTTTTTCAAATTAATGAATAATTAAAAAAAATGTTTTTTATCAAGATTTTTAGAAAATAGTTAATATTTATAGATAAATATTAATGATAAACAATTCAACGAATGTTGTTGAAATTTCAAGCTTATAAACCAAAGTAGATGATTTAAAATCTTTAATTCTGAACTGCCTAGACGACTCTTTACATTCTGAATTGTTGCATGCACCAGAAGTCTCATTTGGACACCTCAAATCAATAGTCACTGCAAATGAATCATGTAAGTGGATGAAAAAAAATGAGTTGCAATGTCAACATTTATAAGTATAGCAAACGTAGACATTGCGCATTGGATATCTTATCACAGAACTCTTGTCCTCTTCTAACCAACAGTTCGGCCGAGCGGTTAACCCAAAGTTTTAAAAATTTATTTAATAGTAGTAGTAGCATATAATGTAGTAATTGTAGTAACAGCAGTATGAAATGTATTGGCCAGTCATACAGATGAGGTCTATAATAATCAATGCAAAAATGAAACTAAATATTATAAAATGAAAGAAAAAAGCAATTAAAAAGCGTAAATTAGAAGTCGCAAAACATACAAACATACGCAACAACCAAACAAAGAAAGAGACATCTAGACAAACAAAAAAATGCCAAGCAACTGCCGCAAACGCCTAACATTTATCAGTCTACGGAAAAAAACACGCCAAAAATATTTTTTATCGATTTAACGCATTATAACTCAGGACTGCGTTTCTCTAAAGCAATTAGCGGTTCACTCTGCCTTGCTAATTACCATGTTAATATTTGAAGAGGGAATGGATGAACATCAATCGATCCAATGTAATGTCGAATGGATGGATGGATGGATGGATGGACGGACGGATGGACGGATGGATGGATGGATGGATGGATGGATAGATGGATGGATGGATGGATGGATGGATGGATGGATGGATGGATGGATGGATGGATGGATGGATGGATGGATGGATGGATGGATGGATGGATGGATGGATGGATGGATGGATGGATGGATGGATGGATGGATGGATGGATGGATGGATGGATGGATGGATGGATGGATGGATGGATGGATGGATGGATGGATGGATGGATGGATGGATGGATGGATGGATGGATGGATGGATGGATTTTACGTTTCAATTCGCGAACTGAAAACAAAATGAATAAAAATCCACTCAATCAAAACGATAGACGAAACGATAAAATAATATAACCATTAGATAAAAATATTCACCAACTAATCATCATCGTTAACTATGAGAGAAACAGCGATAAAATTAAAAAATCAAACTTGCCACGAAAAGTTATACAGAAGAATAAACGACGAACTAATGAATTGATGAATGGATAAAAAAATTATGCCAAAAACACACACGAAACAACTTTTAAATCGAAAAAGAAGAGAAACCGCACAAGATCTATTTAAAAATGTTAATTACACAATTCCAAGTCCTTTAATTTACGATTAGGCCAACTCCCTTGCTGCTCTTTATATCTCTTTTTCTTTTTTCATTCTTCTTCTCTTATTTGTTCTTTTTTTAATTTTTATATCACCAACCTATATATTTTGGTTTTTTCCCTCTTTGTAACTTTTAATCCCATACTGTTTGTTCTTAATTTTGGTTCCGCCCTTAATATCCTATGTTCATTTTTCTCTCTATATATCATTAGGTAAACATTTTTTTTTCAAAATTTGCATTTTATTTTGCACTTTCATTTCTAGATAACGTGTTGATAACGACTTCAAAGTCAAGACACCAGTTAGACAGCAAAATTCCAACGCTCAATGTTTTAATAATAGCAACTTTAGGAACACGTAGGATGAAGGGCATTAACTAAAACATTAAAACCAAGATAGCACATTATAAAATAGACAAAATATTTGAAAAAAGTATCAAAACAACAACAATAGCAGAAACAACAGCAACAGCAACGACAAAAGCAGTACCAACAACGACAACATGCAGAACAACACCATTTGGTAACACCCCACAGTTTTAAATCAAACCTTTGCACATTCAGATAAGACAATCAATCCAACAGCTCCGTTATCCATCTGTCTATCTTTTCATTCATCCATCTACTTTTACATTCATTCACTTTTTCATTCGCTCACTCACTCATTCACTTATTTATCCATCTTTTCATCCATTTGTCTATCCATCTATCATTCCACCCTTTTAGTTGCTCATCCAGTGAACATGAAGACAGTTCAGTATTTATAACATAAAACTAACTGGCAGTAAAAATCAGAAGCAACCACATCATACTTAACCCACGTAACATAAAGTACAAAAAAGTCAACTGTAGCTACACCAGTAGCTCCGACAGCAGCTACCACAGCGTCAACAACCACGTCAACCCCAGCGTTAACAACCACAGCCGCAACAGCAGTGAAAACCTTTTGATGAATAATTAAAATAATTGCACACGCTCCAGTTTCAAAATTTTCTCATTGCGACATAATTGCAACACTTGACAGGAAGTTAGCACTAGCTAGCCCGCTTGTTATTTTCTATCTTGCTCTGTTCTATGTTTGTTTATGTTAGTTTTGTTGTTTCAAGTTGTGCAATTCGTTTTTGCCTGTGTAGCTTTTTTATTGCTAGCATAAATTTATTGCTAGATTTTGAATAATGAATTGAAAAAATTTATTATTATTTTTACTGAGTTTTTGAAGCGCAAAAATTTTTTGTTTTAAGATGATCACGGTGCCATAAATTTATCGTGTCGTGAAAACGTTATAACAACAAAAGTTCATAAATATTATCATTAACGTCATAAGCAACTAACATCATGTAAAACAACATCATAAACAACATAATATCATAAACAACAACATCATAAACGATAAATAAACTAATCATAAACAACAAACAAACATAAACGACGTCACCAACAGCATCGTAAACAACAGCCAGTACTGAAATTACATCTTTTGCAACAGTAAGAACTTCAACAGCAGCCACAGTGGCAGCAACAACAACGACGACGATACGACATCCTTAAAACATCCAACACATCCAGCTTCCTTCATAAATCAGCAACTTGAAATTACCCACCATAACTCTTGCCGCGTCAAATTTTCAACGTAAGACTTTGGCGGCGCACTTAGGAACGCATACACGCACGTACGCACACATATACAATTCATACTACTTACGTGAATCTACAATTGAATGTACAACCCACATGACACAATATTGTGAATGTGTTTGTATGGATGGATGTGTGTGAATTTAAACGTAATATCAGCAAGTTTGTACACGATGAAAAGATAAGCAAAAATCAACTTAATGTCAAAAGAAGGGATGATTAATGGCTAGGAAGATAAAAGCTGATGTTTTGTTTAGTTGATTGAGTTTGCAATTTCAGATGTCAAAAACTGAAGGTAGTAAGATGAATTAATTCATTGGTAAAGTTTGAATATGATATGATTTAAATTTGAAAAGATATCGATAATGAATAAGAAATTGCTAAAAAAACATGTATATACATAATGCATTTGTTGAGTTTGTATCTGTATGTATGCGTCTGTTTGTCTTGCACTGTGTAACTTTACATTAATATTATAATGCACTTGTCTATGTATGCACTCGCACATATAAACACCCCAACACACGTCTGCGTATAACTTGGCGTGTTTATGCTGCAAGGGCTTTAGTGTCGTTATTTGTTCTAAGAGTGTTAACTGTTCATTAAAATTGGAAGGAGTATGTTGCTAATGCAGATGTTTCTACATTCTTCAATAAGAGAACGCGTATTTTTTTGTATCGACCTTACGAGGCTTTTTCTCCGTAACTTTTTTCTTTCAATTTTTTAAGTAAAGTTTTTGCTGTTGATGTATTTTAGAAAAAAAAATTTAAATGAATTGCATAATTTAATTAATAAAAAGTTGCAATTGTATTATTTAGAGTAATTTGGCAAGCAAGTGTGTGTTTGCATTGCAAGTTCAATGTGTTCGTACGTCCAAACATTCATACATGTGCGGTTGTCTCTCTCCTCATGCCGTGAGATGTTTGCTTGTTTGCTTTCGTTCAGCTTTCCAGAATAATTAGCATTCAAGCGGCTACAAATAATGAAATTGCCTACTTTTTTAACCTCCTCTCTGGATCTGAGTTTATGTATACGCAAGTGCCTAATTACAAGAATGCATAGACACACAGACTCACATAAAGAAACGGAGAGACACACACAGATACACACTCATACAAACACGCACAAACACACACACAAACACCACACACACACAACACACACACACATCTTATCATCAGCGTATACGAATAACTTAGACTGTGTTTTGTTAAATTATTAAAACTAAATAATAGTAAAAATGTTGAAGAGCAGACTAACGATGTTTCGCCGAAGGGCGCGAAAGCTTCCTGCAGGTGCTGCGGTTCAACGTCTGGACTCAAGTCTCCAACGAATACGTGGAAATGACCTGGTGTGAAATTTCATGTTGGTGTCACTTTTGTTGTTGATGTTGTTGCTGTTGATGATGTTGTTGTTGTTGCTGCTGCTGTTATTGCTGTTGCTATTGTTATTTCGTTGTCAAATTTGTATTTTGTTAAGATTTTGTGTTTGACAATGTTGCAGTATTGTTTTTAGCTATATTATTTTATTCAAAACTGGTGAAACATTGATTTTGAAAATACTTAAACAACAACGTTAATGGCACATGCTGATTTTGTAAAAACATTTTAAAAAGTCCGTTTAATTTATTTTAACAAGTTTTGGTCAATAAAACGTGTACAGTTGGTTAAATCATTTAGAAAATGTACTCTAGACAACAAATACTAAAATAGACAAGCAAGAAAAATAAATATTTATAATATAACAGATTCTCATTTCGTATATGACTTTTTTTTATATCATTTTCTTATCAGGTGCCTTCAGAGAATTATGAACGTATATTCGTTCGTTTTGTTTTTCTGTCGGTGATTTTGTATTTGTAGTTTTGTATTCTATGTTTTGTATTTTTTGATTTGTATTTTTTGATTTGTATTTTTTGATTCGTATTCTTTGATATGTATTTTGATTTTTATTCATCGTTTTGCATTTTTCAGCTTTGCATTTTGTAATGTTGTGAATTTATATACTATCGATATAATGGTTTTAATTTTGCTTTGGTTCCAGGAGACGTTGAAAATTATTTACAAATACAAGAAATAAAACAAAACAAAACATCATTGTAATTGCATAAACAAAAAATTAAAACAACAAAAAAACTTTAAAACCGCAAAATCAAAAAATGTATGTACATAACTCTGTGGGCATGTTGGAGATAGAAATAAAACCAGAAAAAGAGAAGTAAAGGAAAGAAATAGAAAGAGAGAGAGAGAGAAAGTAAAAAAAAGAAAAAATGAAATGAGACATAGAGAAAGATAGAAAAAGAGAGCACATCAGAGAAAGAGAGACGAGAAGGAAGGAAGAAGAATAAAGAAGAATAAGAAAAAGAAAAATAAATATATAAATAAAAAAAGCATATAAAAAAGAGAGAAACATAGAAAAAAGCATCAGAGAGAGAGAGAGAGAGAGAGAGAGAAAGAAAAGAGAGAGAGAGAGAAAGCGAAAAAGAGAGGAAAAAAGACAGAAAAAAGGAGAAATCTTAAGGATGGAGCTCCTGGGACCAACAACATGTCTGATCAAAAAATGAACGGTAACTTTCTCAACCGAATATATACAGAGTTTTATCTCAGTTCTTTTTCTTTGTTTTTTATGTAATTTTTTTATTCATGTTTCTATTTGATTATTTTTTATGTTTATGTTTTTGTTGTTATTTTTATTCGATTATTTTTTTATGGCTTGCAGATATATTTCAATTTTTTAATTCGGAAAATTCTTTTGTTATTAACTAACAACGTATCTATTCGAGGATTTTTGAAGATATTTATGAGTGTTGTATTTAAAACAGAATTTACAGTTTTATTTTTCTAGTTAATTATTTAATTTCTAAAATAGTTGAAAAATTTAAATTCTTCTAAATATTTTTTTTAAGTGAGACTTTCAAGCTCGCCGTTGATGTTCAAACAAACTATTCCTTCCTACAAAAGTAAAAATCATATTATGGAAAGAAAAAAATTTCAACTTACGACTAGTATCAGGTTTCTGGTGATGAAGATGATGATTGTTATATTGATTGTTGTTGTTGTTGTCATTATTGTTGTTGTTGTTGATGATGTTGTTGCTGCCAAAGAAATTCGTCCAACCGTTCTTTATTTCCTGTTTTGTAGCGTTTAATTATTTGTTATTTGGGGTGTTGTTATTGTTGTTGTTTTGTTGATTTTTTTATTGTTTATGTTTTCTTTGTTCTTATTACGTTTTTTTTTATTATTTTGTAGTTTCGTTCTTATTTTATCTTTATGGAACAAAAAAAAATTATTTGTAAGTTTTTGTAAGAGCTTTGTTTCTGAGCCGCATTTCGGAATCTGCTTATAACCATATTCACATACTCAAACGCACACTGTATTTGTGTGTGTTTGTTTGCGTGTGTGTATTTTTGTGTGGTTTTTGGTTGTGTGTTAGTGTATGTATAAGTGTGTAAATTCGGTTTGTGTGTTTGTGCGTCTCATGTATATATCACATACACGCACGCGAATTAACAAACTTATACATTTGTGTGTGTATGTGTGTGTGAGGCGGTTTGTGTGTGTTTTTGTGCGTGCTTGTATGTATGTGTGCGTGTGTGCGTGTGTGTGAGGTGCATAAAAAAGTTTATTACTAGTGTTTGCAAGTAAAATAATATAAAAAAAAGATGACACATTTTAAAACTTTCCATTTTTAAAATAAAATACGAACAACAACCAACAGATGAAACTTTTATTTCCCTTAATTCCTTATTTTTTATTCACCCTTCCATCACTTATTTTTTTAAAAATTACCATTTTCACTTTTTTCTTCTGCAAAAAAATTTTAATTTAATTCTACTCTCTTTCTCTTTCTTTCCTTTCCCTCCTTTCTCTTTCTCTCTCCCAATTTTTTTATTGGCATTTTTTTTTATTTCATATTTCATTTAATATTTTATGTTTTGTTATTTATATTTTCTCTGATTTGTTTATTTTCTGTTTATTCTTTCTTGCTTGCCCGAGATCTTGAAGTGAGGTGTGGCTAGAAGTTACGAATGTGTTGGTCCTTTGGAAACAAACCCTGACTTAGTATTTAGTATCTCACTGAATTTTGTTCTATGAAAGAAATTTTTTAAACTGAATTACCAAAAATCATACATAAAAACAAACAAACAATCATACATACATACATACAAACAACAAACAAACATACATACATATAAACAAACAGGCAAACAAACATACAAAGAACTTTTCCGAACGAAAAGAAACTCAAAGTATTCCAACAGAATGGGAACAAGACAACTGCAAACCACAGAAACACAAATAATATCAATTATTTGCATGCAATCTCCCAAGCATATCTGCTTTAAGAAGATTACCTCGCACGCTCAACCCTTCAGTGATGTCCACAAAAAAAACTACAAATCTAACACACACACACACAAACACACATACAAACATAGATACAAAATATCAAACTGCACACAAACGCATAACTTTACTCTCAAGAAGATCTTGGTAAAAATTTGGAAATGTATTGTATTAGTCATACTTGTAGCAAGGTAAGAAGTTTTAGTACAGGTAAAAGAGAACACTGATAATATTTGTAGATGCAAATGACTTAACCGACATTATCGTAAAAAGTAAGAAACATTAACAGCAGCGTTTGCGTAGGTAGGCGAGAAGTGATTAAGTAGCTGGAAATGTGTTCGGTCGTAGCTGCGGTATAAATAATTGTACGCTAACGATGTTGTTATTAGAAATTGCGGGGCAGTTGGAGGCGAACTTCTGATTGTTTAGTACAAAGATTGTCTAAATGGCCAAGGTCGTTGTCGACAACAACATTTCAGATATGACTACAACAACAATGTTATTTGCATGATCAAAACAGCAGCAGCAACAACAAAAACAACAACAATATTCACATAATCAAAACAACATTTGCCTAATCGAAGCAACAACATTCATCAAATCAACAAAAACAATTTTTCTATAATCACAAAACATTACCACAACACCACTATCAAAGACCAAATCAACACTAACAACAACAACTCAAACAACAACAACAATTTTTATGATAAAAAAATTAACTCAACATTTATGTCATCCATCTTTTCTGATCTACTCTAGACAACAACAGCAACAGCAGTAACAACAACAACCACACTCTATCCAACGTATTCCATTGTAACAAAGCTTTCCAGTTATTCAATCATATAAAAAATCTATAAAACTTAAATGACACATGTCCTGTCATGCTTGCCTGCATCTGCTGTGTCCAGCCTTTTGGTTTCTTTTGAAAATTTTTCCAGATTTGTCCATCTTGTCCAACTTTTCTTGGGCCAATTTTGGTTACCAGTTTTGATGGTACCATTAAAATTAAATAAAGTGATCGAACATAAACGACAACATGAACAAACAAACAAACCACAAAGCAAACAAACAACAAAACAAACAAACAATTAAACAAACAAACAAACAATCAAACTAACAAACAAACAAACAAACAGACAAACAAACAGACAGACAACATACGCTTACATGGTTAACCGGTAACAAGAGAGATGAGGATGGGTGAATGAGTTTGTTGTAGAGAAAAGATGGCGATGACGTCAGATAGTCTGAAACTGGAAGTGGTTGAAGTTGCTGCTGCTGCTGATGTTGCTGAAGAGGGTGATGGGGAAGTGTGTAGGGATGCTGTGGTTGCTGATGGGGATAAGTTGGCTGGTTGATCTTCGAGTTTACCTGGTTGATTGGTTGATTGGCTGGTTAGTTGGTTGGTTGGTTGGTTGGATGGTTGGTTGGTTGGTTGGTTGGATGGTTGGTTGATTGGTTGGTAGGTTGGTTGATTGGTTGGTTGGTTGGTTGGTTGGGTGGTTGGTTGGTTGGTTGGTTGGTTGGTTGGTTGGTTGGTTGGTTGGTTGGTTTGGTTGGTAGGTTGGTTGGTTGGATGGTTGGTTGGTTTGGTTGGTTGATTGGTTGGATGGTTGGCTGGTTGGTTGGTTGGTTGGTTAGTTGGTTTTGTTGGTTGGTTAGATGTATGCGTTTTTTTTTGGATAAATGAATGGAATAAATAGACAAACGAAAGATTAAAGAAACAAATAAATAAATGAATTAATTAATCAATTTTAGTTAAGAACATTGACAATTGATTAAAAAATGAATGAATTAATGCATAAATAGATGAATGAATGATTTAAAAATAGAAGAAACAAATAAATAAATAAGAAGTTTAATAATTTAATAGACATTTCAAGACAAGGGTAAAATAGATTAATGATTGATAGAGAATTACATTCGTAATCGTTAGCAACTTATCAATTTTAATCATATTCTAAATCATAACATTAATTTTAACGTAAATACGTTTAACATTATCTCGTTCTTCATTGTCATCATAATCATAACCTTTATAACCATCATCATTATCTTCTTTATCTTCTTTATAATCATCGTCATCACTATCAGCACCGCATTCATTCCACATAAACGATCAATTGATATTGTTTTTCGCATTCATTTATAACCCCGAAACCAGTGTCGTGATATTTTGTTATTTATGTGTGTGTGTGTGCGTGTGTGTTTGTGTCGGTGTGTTTGTATGTATGTATGTGTGTCCATGTGTGTGTGTGTATATATGTGTTTATGTGGGTGTATGTGTGTATTTGTGTTTATGTGGGTGTGTGTTTGTGTGTATGTGTGTATGTGTGTGTGTTTATGTGGGTGTTTGTGTTTGTGTGTAGGTGTGTATGTGTGTTTGTATGTATGTGTGTTTATGTGGGTATGTGTGTGTGTGTATGTGTGTTTATGTATGTGTGTGTGTGTGTTTATGTGTCTTTTTTTATATACCAGAAACCTATCATCAATAAACGTTCGCGCGTTTAGACAACAATGACATTTTTAATAATGGTGATGATGAAGATGACGAGAATAAAGGTGACGATTACACACACACGCACGCACGCACACATACACACCTACACACACACACACACACACCTACACACGCACACACACACAAAATAAATAATAATAATTAATTCATCCACGGTTGAGTGATAATTATCATATTATTTAAAACGAGCTACAAACATACCTGTCGCTATGACGACTGCAAAATTAAAAAAAAATCGTGTTTGTTTTTTTTTTCAAAAACTGTAAGATACTGTTTATGTTTTATATTAAGTTTTGTTTGGTTTTACTAAT